CTTGCTCTCCCTTTGTGTCTGCAGAACATCACAGAAAAGCGGCAGGCAGAGCTGCAGGGAACTCGGAGCCAGATCGAGGCAGTGGAGAAGAGGCACAAGGAAGAAATCAAGACCATCCATGAGGAAATGAGTCGCCTTGTTCAGCAGCGGGATGCTCTGCAGAAGCAGGTGACTGAAACAGCAAGAGCTACTGCAGCATCAGCCAGGAGGTCTCTGCCCTTCTTGCCTCTCCATTGCAGAGCAGGCTGCTGGGGTGATCCCTCTGGCTGCCGTCCTCCTGTGGCCCCCATCTCAGCGGGGCTGAAGGAGACTTACTGGCCAGCTGAACCTCAGCTGCTGCTCTTGGCAGATGGGCCCGTCCTTTTGCCCCTTGGCCAGCAATCATGAGAATGGATTTCTGCTGGCCTGTTACTGCTAGCCTTGTTTTTTAAGGTGGTTTTTCAGATGAACATGGTGACCCGCTTAGATTTTTAAACAAGTTGGCTGTGTCCATTGTGAATCTGGTACTCTCATGAGAGGGTGAAGTTTAAAGTTGCCCTTTCCCTTTCCTCACAGTATAGGATATGGCTGACAGTGACCAGCCATAGTCTTTGACTGCTTTGTTATGTTCTACTTGAGGTGGAAGAGTTGACGTCTCAGCTGGCAGCCTCCGAAGAGTCTCTAAAGAAGGAGGCTGTGACTCTACATCAAGAGGTGGCGTCTTTGGAAAGGAAACTGGAGAGCACGGAGAAGCAAAGAAAGGACGTCCTGGTGAGGCTGGCCGATGCCGTGAAGGGCCATTTCTTCCACAGTGTTTGGCCTTCTGTTCATAATTCTAAGGGGCAACTTGGTTTCTGGCTTAACTTTTGCAATTACATTCTTCTTCTGCAGTAGGAAAAGGTGCCGTAGCCATATAAAACTCCGCTATGATTCAGGGTGCTGCTTTTCCTCAATTCTGGTGATTTCTGCCCTTGAAGCTTTAGTCAAAGTCATTTCCATTGCATGGTTTGGGCAATTACTTGTGTCCAAATCCAGATGTCGATTTCTAGAGATCTGGATCTGGAAAAAGGGGTGAGAAGACAGAGTTTGCCAATAACAGAAAGCTGTCTGACATTGCCCATCTGAGAGCAGGCAGTGGGGAAGGAACAGAGACAACTGAGAAACAGAAGTGGTGATCTGGCTAAAAATGTGTGCCTGCAAAGGGAAAGCTAGTCCTGGTTGGAAGCCCAGAATGACAGCCTGGGATCTGACTGTCACTCCTTCAAGAGGGGACAGCGGGGCTCTAGAGGATGGTACCATGAAAATTTTACGCAGTAGAGGTCCAAAAAAGAAAAAAAAAGGCAAATCAAATGTTGGGGTTGTTCTCTCCTCCCTCCCTAATGCCACTGCCTCAGTCATGCCCAGCCTGGACTTGAAACCGTTCTGCCGTTCTGGCAGCTCCTCCCCAAAAGAACACGCTAGAGCCAGAAGAGCTTCAGAGAAGGGCAAAAAGGAAGAGGGGACTGGCTAAGCTGGGAAAGCGGTGCCTATGGTAGCCGAGACATTTGAGCCAGGGCAGCTCTTCCTACTGATCGGTATTTTCCCACTTCTCCATTTACAGTGACTCCAAAAATCAGTTATGCACAGAGTTTGATGAATACAGTACAGTTCTCCACTCTTTTGTGTGTGACAGTAGAAACTTTACACCAAACAGGGAAACCCACCAAATAGCTCAAATGTTGGCATTACCGAATCTTTTCCTCCCTGTTTTGCAGCATGAGCGGGACAGACTGCAAGCACTTAAAGAAGAATTGGTATGGGAGACAAAACTTCTCCAGGAATCAGTTACAGCCTCTGAAATTCAAGCCAATACCGCAACAGATATGAATCACTCCCTCGAACAAGAACTCCAAGCGGCACTGTCTGTCTTACAAATTAAAAATGACGAAGTGAAAGTGCAATGGGAGAAAATCCAGATGCTCCAGAAAGAGGCAGCAGAGGTGGAAGCTTTGCAAGAGACTGTCACTCACCTGACTGCCATCCTGTCAGAGAGGGAGGGAGAAATGAAGTCATACCAGGAACAGATGAGAATGCTGGAGAAGCAGAATGAAATGCATAAAACTACTCTTGATCAGGCTTTTAAGGACATAACAGAGAAGACAGAATCCCAGCAAGAACGTATACAGGAGCTGGAGAAGCAGCGAGAAATGGAGAGGACTGCTGTGAGTGAGATGAGCAAAGAGCTGGAAGAGAAAGACCACGAGATCAGATCCCAGCAAAAACTGATAGCGGAGCTGGAGCAGCAGCAAGAAAAACAAAGGATTGCTGTGAGCAAGGTGACCAAAGAGCTGGAAGAGAGGGACCAGGAGATCAGATCCCAGAAGGGGAAAATGATGATTCTGGAACAACACAGTGCATCACAATTAAGAAATCTGCTCAAGGATCTTGATTATATGAAAGGAAACTTGAAGGAGAAAAATGTAGAGCTTTTGTCTCTGACTCAGCAGATCCAAGAACTGGAGAAGGAGAGAGAAGAGGTGAAATCTCTCCACGCGAGCCTTGGACAGCTGCGGGCAGTTCTCAAGGACAGAGAGAGTGAGTGTGATTCCCAAAGGGATCAGCTAAGACTCTTGCAGCAGTACAAGGAACAGCAGGAGGGGCACCTGCAAGAGCTTTGTGGTAAAGTAGAAAAGATGACGCTGTGTTTGTCTAAAAAAGAGCAAGAGCTTGAATCACAACAAAAGCAAATCCAGGAAGCTGAAGCAGTCATGGAAGTGCAATTAAGGACTGTCCGTGATGAGCTGGAGCAGACCTTAGAAACCTTAAAAGAAAAGGACAGGCTCCTAGAGATCCAAAAGCAACAAGCAAGGAGCTATGAGGAAAAAACAGAAGAACGGCTGAATGTCTTATGTAGAGACTTAGAATACACCAAGGCAATAGTGCAAGAAAAGGATTTTGTGATTGAGACCTTCCAAAACCAAGAACAAGACTCTGAACAGCAGAAAGAAGTTCTGCAGCATCTTCAAGTGGCACTAAAGGAAAAAGAGCAAGAAATTTCATCCCTTAGAAGGCAACTTGAGGCATGCAAGGAAAAGGAGGAAAAGCATGAAGCCGAGCAAACAGATCTTCAAGCAACAAAAGTGACTCTGAAAGAAAGAGACAAAAAGATAGAGGTTCTAGAGGAGGCTATCGCCAAGCTTCAGCAGCAAAAGGAGGAGGCAGCGCTGCAGACTAAAGCCATACTGCAAAAACTAGACTATGCCGAATCTTCTCTAGAGGCTAGAGATGAAGAGATAGTGTCTTTGCAAGAGCAGAAGGAGCTAGAAGGCAAGCAGGCCACGAGTCTACAGCAGGATCTAGACAAAATGAGCCAACTAGTGAAGAAGAACCGTTTGGAGTTCCACAGGCAGGCAGAGCAAATGAGCATGTTGCAGCTTCGTGAAGAAAGCATGAAAGTAGCACTGACATCATGCCAGAAGGAAGTGAATCTCCTTGAGGAAGCGGTGAGGAAGAGAGATGAAGACAATGAAACCATTATGCAAAAACTCCAGCACCAGGAAGAAGAACTGAAGGCCTTGCAGAATCTCCAGCTTAGGCTAACCGAGCAGAATAAAGAGGCTAGACACCACAGAGAGCAAGAGAAGCCCCCGGAAGAGGCCTTGCCTGAGGGGGAACGAGAGCCCAATGCTCAAGGTAAGCAAAAAGAGGTAGCAGAGGAAATAAGAGCACTTCAGGAAAATCTCAGGCACGTTCAGCAGACTCTGACAAAGAAGGATGAAGAGGTCAAGTGCCAGAGAGCCAGAGTCAGCTATTTAGAGGAGACTCTGAGAGGCAGAGAACAAGAGCTTAGGAGGCAGAGTGAACTCCTGAGACAATTAACCTCAGCTTTGCAATGGAAAGGTGAAGGGGAGACCCTACAGAAACAAATCCAGCAACTGCGAAGATGGGAGGAAGAGGAAGCAGAGAAGAGGAGCATTCTCCAGGAGAGAGACCGTGCCTTGCGAAGGCAGAAGGAGCTAACGCAACAGCTGGAAGATGAGAGGAGAGCAAAGGGGGAAGAATTGGAGCGTGTGGTTGCTATTTTGAAGCAGACCGAAAGCAGAGAAATTGAATGGAAAGAGAAGGCGCAAGCACTGACTCTTGCCCTTTCCAAGAGCGAAATGGCCAACGGGGCTCTGAGGGAAGAAATAGGCATCCTGCAGAGTATGGTTTCGGAGAGGGACACGGACCGGTTGCATCTTCAGGTAGGCACTGTGATTGACCGTCAGCCAGCTAAAAGGGCTATAAGGGATTCTAAAGACGCTGCCCATAAAGATATGGGAGTGTATAGTCCCGTAAATATATGGCCTGCTTGGCCAAAGCAACCATGACTGCAGCCAGCAGGCGTGCCTGTCTGTATCGCTCTGGCGAGAACGTTTTCTGTCAGGGCCAGACTACTGGAAGAAGTGCGGAGCTTGCGGCTAAAATGAAAGCAAGTCAAAAAGTTGGGGGTGGGTAATTGTTTCTCTCCTACCTAGGCAAGCTTAGCCAACGTGTGGTGGCTGGGATTTGGCATGGCGAGGAGAGGGCGCATTTGGCCAGTGAAACGCACTAAACTTAGTGGAATTGTGTAACGATGGCTGAACAGCAGCTGCACCGGTGGTGCTTAGGGGATGCTTTCAGAGGTGTAGATTTCTGAGGTACCGCTTTTCCGGCATATGGAAAAGAAGGGAATTTGTACCGTTGCCTGGTGAGGTTGTCCAGCGCAAACAACTCCATTTCTCAGGGTGGTCTGGAGGAGGGCCCCGAGGAGGCTGGGACGTGAGAAGACGGAGCTGCAGCAACTCAACGCTGAGCTGAGGAGGACTCTTGAGCAGGTAAAACAGGCTTTCACTGCCTCTGCAAAGCCTCAGGGGCCCCGGAGCACAACACGATTGCACAGGGAGCCCTCTGGAGCCCTCTGCTCGTTTCCTTCCCTCTCCCCCTTCCCCCCGTGGGCACACACTTTTGTATTTTCTCGCTCTTCTGGCAGCCTCCACAAATGCACCTGCCCGCTGGTACCACCTTCTTGCCCCACTGTTCCCATACACAGACATTTGACGCTTGTGTGTCAGGAACGGTTTCCTCTTGCTCCTTCTCTTCCATAGCCTACCTGGAGTGCTTTTTGCCCGCAGCGTTCTCTGCTGCCATTAGCGGTCCCTGAGCAGACACGTCCTTGCCGTGACACCCAGAGGTCCTTTTGCTCCCTGTTTGGTGGCAGGTTTCTGTGACCCTTTCTCCTCTCCAACGTGCAGGTGGAACGTGAACGGAGGAGACTGAAGAGAGCTTGTAGAGGTCGGTCGCTGCCGGATGCGCGCGGATCTCCTCCCTCCGAGTCTGACCGGCACAAGACTCCTTGGCCGGTGAGAAGAGAATCCTACTTGGTGGGAGGAGGCTCGGGCCATACGGAGGAACGATGGCAAATCCCAGTGGCCGCAGCCCCTCGGGACAGCCCTAACACAAGTCAAATATAGACCATGGCCCTGGCCAAGCTGGAGACTAAATGAAATCCTTGCGTTGCCTTCACAGGAGGAGTCTCACGCCCGCTGCAGCCATCGATTAGCCGAGTTACAGAACCAGGTGAGGAGTAGGAAAGCTCTCATCAAGAGCCAGTGTGCCTTTTGTACTCATGGGCACAACTTTGTGCGATGCTACACTCTGAGTGGTGTTTGGCTGTCAGGAAGTGAGCAAGTCAGGCAGTGTCAGTCAGACACAGCTCTTGGTCATAGGCAAACACCATCATTCACCTAGGTCTAGTCCTTGACTTGCCTAAAGGTCAGGTAGGAACCTCTCTCTTTAATATACAGGTAATGTCTTGGTGTTGTACATATTAACGGCATGCTAGAAGGAAACTGGAATTGTTGATAATCCGAGTTCAGGTCAGGGTGAGCCTGCGAACCCTAGAGGGTTTGTCTTCCCTGGCAGCTGGTACCATGGAGCTACGGAGGGTCCTGACAGGGGAATGAGTGCTCCCTCATTCAGTTTGCAGATGACACCAAACTGGGTGGGAGTGTCAATCTGCTGGAGGGGAGGAGGGCTCTGCAGAGGGACTGGGCCAGGCTGGATCCATGGGCTGAGGCCAACTGTATGAGGTTCAACAAGGCCAAGTGCTGGGTGCTGCACTTGAGTCACAAGAACCTCATGCAACGCTACAGGCATGGGGAAGAGTGGCTGGAAAGCTGCCTGGCAGAGAGGGACCTGGGGGTGTTGGTTGACAGGCAGCTGAATATGAGCCAGCAGTGTGCCCAGGTGGCCAAGAGGGCCAATGGCATCCTGGCTTGTATCAGGACTGGTGTGGCCAGCAGGAGCAGGGCAGTGACCGTGCCCCTGTGCTGGGCACTGGTGAGGCCACCCCTCGAATGCTGGGTTCAGGGTTGGGCCCCTCACTCCCAGAAGGACATGGAGGGGCTGGAGCGTGTCCAGAGAAGGGCAATGGAGCTGGTGAGGGGTCTGGAGGCCAAGGCTGCTGGGGAGCGTCTGGGGGAGCTGGGGGTGTTCAGCCTGGAGAAGAGGAGGCTGAGGGGAGACCTTATCGCTCCCTACAACTGCCTGAGAGGAGGGGGGAGCCAGGGGGCAATCAGTCTCTGCTCCCAGGGAACGGGCAATGGGATGAGGGGAAATGGCCTCAAGTTGTGCCAGGGCAGGTTTAGGTTGGACATTGGGGAAAATTCCTTCCCCGCAAGGGCTGGCAGGCACTGGCAGGGGCTGCCCAGGGCAGGGGTCGAGTCCCCACCCCTGGGGGTATTTAAAACCTGGGCAGATGCGGTGCTTAGGGCCAGGGTTTAGCAGTGGGATGGCAGGGTTAGGGTAACAGTTGGGCTGGGTGATTTTAAAGGTCTTTTCCAACCTAAACGATTCCATGATTCTGTGATTCTATGGCAGTGTGTGCTTGTCTGAGCTCGGCCTTTTGCCTCTTTCAGGTGTCCCTTCTGCAGACACAGCTGGCAGGAGAACGAAAATCCAAGCAGGACTATATTGAGTGCTGCACAAAGACCACCCAGGAGCTGTCAGAGCTTCACCAAGAGCTGTCTTGCTCCTTAGCAGCCGTGGTCAGGGAGCCCAAAGCTGCTGTTCTGGAGGCAGAGACGGGGAAGCTGAGTCAGTCTCTGAGCCTTCCTTTGCCGGAGGGGAAGAGCTGCAGCGCTGTGGG